CAAGGACAGTCCCATTCTACAACAGTGGCATCATGTAATATTTGTCCTTTTGTGACTGGGATATTTCACTCAGCATAATGTTCGAATCTGAGGTACCTTAATCCTCAAACTGGCACCATTACTCTTCAATAATTTGGATAGGTCCCTACCTACAGACTTTTCCAGAGCAATGTGTCTCCTTATTTCCTGAATACTGGTACAAGGGTGTTAATTGTGGATCCAAGCAAGATGAAGTTGTTGATAGTTTCAATCTCTTCTCCGTTCAACGTGATGTTGTCTATCAGGCCAGTGGTAAGAATCTTTGTTTTCTTGCCATTGAAATGCAATCCATAGGGAAGGTTGCATTTCTTGAACTGCTGCAACAAGTGCTTCAAGTCCTCCTCACTTTCAGCAAGAAAGATTAAGCCGTCTGCATAACGCAAGCACTTGTTATAAGTAAAGAATAATGAATGTGTAGTGCATAAATAACTAGAAATTGAGTCGGGAAAAGAGCAGGTTGATTCAGAGGCATGGGAGCTGATTGATTCAGAAGACCCTTGAGAAAAAGACTGAGCTCTGTCTGGTGGCGTCTTCCATAGGGAGTTGTGCTGTTAACCAAAGGTGACACCTCTCTAGTGGTTATAATCCATGCTTGGACCCTTGGGAGAAACATGGGCAATCTCTTCCCATGAGATTCACAGCTTATGAAAACCCACTGGAGCATCAGCTATGAGTGAGCTAAGCCTTAAAGACACTGAGTTGAAAAAAAGAAGGCTCCCTTGAGTTCTGTGGCCCAGTGGTATAAGGACACATTAGAAGAGCTGTGGGTAGGGAGAACGTGTGAAAAAGGAACACTTGCCTTAAAGGAAACAAGATCTCTGTACTGCCTGTCAACACACTTTCACTGGACAACTACCCAGTGAGAACGTTATGTGTTCTCATTCCGAGCAAAGGTGATGCAACAGAATGCTGAATAATAGGAAGACTCATCAACAATCTCTGTTATACTGATGACACAACTTTGCTGGCTAAAACTGAGGAGGACTCGAAGGTTTTGCTGTAGAAGGTCA